ACTGCTAAATTAGGGACGTCTAGCGCAGATAGCCCTCGTGTAGCTTTGCGCACAATTCATAACAAACCAAACAAACAATCAAGAATGTTTCGGTTTGTTTGATATTGCATTATTGTAACTTTCTAAGTCATTTAGTTGTATTAGACACCCCAATAGTATATTAAGTATACTGTTTTTATTTTTATTACGTTTAACATTGTTATAGTTTAATTAGACTACCAATAATCTAGCTATTTATTGTATGATTCAGATATTCATTTAAGTTCTTACTTATTATTTCGTATCTTCATAAACATTACTTTTTGGCTGGGCCTGGCATGACCAGGTGGTTAGGGTGCTCGACTTGCAATCTGCGGGTTCAAATCCCCGTCCCACCAAACATGTTCACCCCCTTCAGCTGTGGGGGCGTTATAATGTTATGGTCAATCCCACTATTCGTTGGTAAAAGAGTAGCCCAAGAGTTGGCGGTGGGTGGTGATGACTAGCTACCTTCCCTCTAGTCTTACACTGCTAAATTAGGGACGGCTAGCGTAGATAGCCCTCGTGTAGCTTTGCGTGAAATTCAAAACAAACAAACAAACTTTTTGGCTGTACTATTGTTACTTGACTCTACCCCTAAACAGTGACATCTACCGTAGTAATTTATCTCGGATGTCAGACTACTGTAAAGTTACACTTTTGGAGTTGTTTAATGGGTTTTTGTTGGTCATGAGACGTTTTTAAGGACTGTGGAAAATTTGCATATATACGATTATACTGGTGTTACGTTAAACCTACGACATTACTTAAAGCTAATATCTAGTGTTTTTGTGTTCCATAATAAGTTATACTGTATTCTGTCTTTAATGTTACTATCGTTAACAGTATTGGTTAGAGTGTTTAGTATATCGAGTTTACTATGTTGAATGTTTTATTATTATACTTTTAATATAAAGATTGTTTTGTATTGCTAGCTTAGAGATTCACATAAACTACTGGATTTATGGCCGAAAACATCTTTAACAGCAAGAATAACCAACTGATGAAACAGTGTATAATTAGCTACACTTATTACCGGACTGATTTTATTTTTATTTCATTTTTGATATAAAATAGGTAGTTAACAGAAGTTAACACATTCACGACCTCGTGCGCTACATATGCATGTTTTCTGTTGGACGTCGTGAGCCACCCCTGGTACACAGCATCCATAAGATATAACAGCACCTCATATCTCAAAAGTCACGAACGAAAGTATTTATTTTATACGGACGGCTATAATAAAGCCACGCCTTCCATCATGTACCACTGGTGGAGCATGTATGCCATGTTGAAAAGACAACCGAAATAAGATATATTTACATGATTAAATCACTTTTTATTTTTAAAATTACATCTAGAGACTGGCATTAAATTTTTCATTGTGAGTAAAAAAAAACTAATTGTGACTTGTTCCATAAATAAAACTGTTATGAAGACTGTAATATAATAAGAATAGAAGTATTATCATCTACAGGAGGAATTATTTTATCTGATGTCCCTTTTTCTTTTACGATTATACTATCGTGAAATATTCATATTGTTACGTCACCGTTGTTAATTGATTTTCCGTAACTTCGTACCGACGAAACTTAAGCGACACAAGCCTTTACTTAATAAAACTGGTTTATTCTTTCCGAATATAACTTAACCGATACACTCAACAATCGCGCTAAACAAACGCTATAGCAACGAACGTCAATAATACTCCGACCGCAGATCAATTACTCACTATCTACTCACATTACAACAATCCCCAACGTCACGTTTTCCCCTCTTTTATATATCAGCGTAACCTATTTCTAGTAAGAACTTGAACATTCGACAAAGTACATGATAGTTCTAGAAACGTTGCGTTACTGTAGTCATGTGACTGCTGACGCAACAATATTTCTTCCAAAAAATGTCAAAAAAAAATGAAAAAACACTAAATATTATTATCATTTGATTATTATTATTTAAATCATAGTGTGCGCCACCAGTGGTATACTCGAGAGAAAGCTGTCAATACAGTCATTGTCTCATAAAACGCCCCCCAGTGGCACAGCGGCATGTCTGCGGGCTTACAACGCTAGAAACCGGGTTTCTATACCCTTGGTGATCAGAACACAGATAGCCAATTGTGTAGCTTTGTGCTTAACTTCAAACAAAAAAATAAACTGTCATAAAACATAACATAAAATTAGCAGCATCCAAGACAGAGTTCACAATGAGACTTTACGTTTCTGTTATATAATTAGAGAAATCACTTACGCCGTAAACGTGTTAATGATGCGAAACATAACAGACATACCCAAGAAGAAGAAATGATACTGTAATAAAAATTATTACAATAAACATAATTTTCTTAATTGAAAAACTCATTGTTGAAATCTTAACGATATTTGGGAGTTCTGGTTAACATTATAAACTCGTCTACAACGAGACAGAACTCAACGAAAATTTATCTTTGTAAAATAAAAATTTAATTAAGAATTTGTTAGAGGTAATAAAAAATTTAGCTCTTATTTATCAAATAAACATCACAAATGTACGAAACCATTAGCTTCCACGTAATTTCGTATGTATATTTTAAACCGTATGTCTGATACTAGATGGCGCTAGACTCGTCGTCCTTGTACTAACGAAGCAATTAGGCACTAAGCTTGTAGTTATCATTTTGGGTTTATATTTGTTTTGTTTTTTGTAGTGACGCTATGAACGTAATACGTGATAAATGTGTGTAATTGTCAAATGAAAGGAATATAAAAATATAACTACGCGATGATGAGGAGTAGTCAATATATTTAGTTTAAAATGATAAATTCCTTTCATTAGAAGCAAAAAAAAAACAAATGTCGGTCCTTACAGTAATTTTCAAATTACGTATGAGGATTATATAATAGATGTACAAAGAAAAATTTAGACAAAACTAACAGTCGTAAGTAGTGAATTGCGGCTAAATGTCAACCTTCAGCTCGGAACCGTAGAATAAGTACTAATTCATTGATGCTTAAATGTCAGCAAAAAGAAATGTGTTAGGCCTACACCATTCACGTGTGATAATTGCTTTGATTCATCAATGTCTAAGAAATGAAAGCTGTGAGTAACAAAAAAGATAAATTACGATTAATTCAGCGACGATTTATATCTGTTAGCTGTGAACAAGTTAGTTTTAACTAATACAACCTGTTGTTTTCTCTCTCTTTTAACCACACTATTGATGATAATGAGGTGATTTGAATTGCTCCATGCCTTTTTTTTTTTAAAGATGAATCATCTGGCCAGCCATTTTGCATATTTAATTTTTTTTAATATCTACAATTTAACCTGTTTAGTCACGAAGTCAAATCATAATGGTGTAAAAACGAGGCTTAAGAAGCATTATTACGTGACATTATCATCGACATTAGGATGTTATTACTAATACATTCACAAAGTGTAGATAAAAAAGAAGTACAGACATACAAACGGAAGTTTTTGTGGAATTAGAATGAAAATTTTTAGAACAAAAAACTTTTTTCACTGCAGTTATATATATATATATGCAATCCAAGCTCTTTCATTGGAGCTAACTTTTGACTCGCTTCAGAAATCGTCATTAGGCTTAAGACCTTTAACTTCGAACCACGAGTCCCAGTGTTACGGGTGTTAGAAATCTGTTTCTATCGTTAGCTATAGGAAGTATCTAATAATTTATTATTGTATACAACGTTTTTAATACAAATTAAATACCCGCACATGGGGGCTTCTTAAAATCTTGATGTTATTATTATTTATCGTGGCATGTTTTCAATAATCCATCCTAACAGAAAGCTATTGGAAGTTTTCCTTGGCAGTTTTATCGATCGCGTACGTGCGGAATGTTTGAATGCAAGTCATTTAAATACCACTCAAGAGAACGGCGCCAGTTTTTGACAATGAAGACAACTTAAGAATTGAAATCCTTCTAGATAAAAACAAATAACGACGGACAGCCGTCAAGAAAGAAAAAAAAAAAAAGGAGAGATTGGAAAGACTCGTATGATGGTGACATTTCGTTTCGTGATGAAATTCGAATAACTTTGACACTTTCCCTTGATGATGTAAAATCGTCA